ACCAGGTGTGAGCACTGGTGTGAGAGCAGTGGCCACTAGCAGTATGAACAACTTGAGATTTTATGTCCAAATGCCCCAACGGGGCATACTAAAGCAAGAGGCAAGGCTCTGGGTACCAACAGTAGAGATGTAAATTCCAATATTGATAACCACGTTGCAAGGCAGTACTGTGCATGGTTCTCCACTGTCCAAACCAGCTCGAGAGTAATCTGATTTTGGCCATGGAATGCCTTCATATGGAAAGGAGGTGTTCCAGTAATGAAGGATCTGCATCACTAATATAAACAATGTGAGTTTGAATGACCCCAGAAGTTTGCTAGAAGCCACTATTTTAATCTAGTAGCCTTTAAGCTGCACTAGCATTATAGTGAGAACAAAAGAAAAGGGAGGCAAGACTGCAATGTTTGGAAGGAAAGGTAGTAACTTAAACCACTGTCAGTATACTCTCCACACCTGAGGTCTGAGAGCAACTGTGGAAGGATCTCAATTTATTCTCATACACATTGCTTCCTTCTTGAAGTCATCGAACCTGCAAGATTGATGGACAATGAGTCGATGACAGCTGCTTCTTAAACATTCTCAGTTTGTACTTTTTGTTGTTGCTCTCTGAGGTAATAAATAATATAGTCCAAATTGTCAGTTTGGTTGTGTTCTGGATAGTAGTCTGAAAAACTTGGTATAAAAGCAACAACATTGAGTACAAAAGCCTCCCTTTCCTGCCCGTCACCAAACGGTTTGTTTTAGCAGGTTCTGTCTTCCAGTGGACTCAATATCAGTACTGATTTCGCCCCACCGCTTTCTCCATTTGTAGCATCCTGCATTTTGTCAACATAAATCTCAATGAAAGAAGACATCCCAAACTAAGATCTTCTATCATTTCTTTAAACTGAACATTTTTTCCTTTGTGGAAGTTAATGTCAACATGCAACTTTCCTAGTACTAAAAATTGTTTACAACATCATCACCTACTGATTTCAACTACTTCTAAGAGTCACTGAAGAGGAACAGATTTCTCATAAATGTAGTTGATAATGAAGAGCTCTAGAAGACCAAGATCAAGGACACAGGTTGAAAAGTATTCCAATAACAACAACAGAAAATGTCCACATTTACTGGGACCTCCTTCTTCTCTACTTTGATAAAACAGCATCTAATTGTATGGTACACTTAACACTGAAGAATCCAAAAATACAGGCAGCTGTACCCTTTTAAAGTGGTAGGAACCATCTTTATCTTGTTTAAGAATTCTCAAGCATGCCAGACAATATTTTATCTTAGAAGACTTGTCTTACATGAATGATAACCTCCTTGTGTTTAAATCTGAGTCACACTCTAGAACCAGTTTTAGGATTGAAAAAAGATGAGACTACAGAAATACAGACTGTAACTGCTGCTTGCAGAGCCTCAGAGTTAATGTCAGTTCATTTTCTATAAAAAACAGGAAGCCTAGGACTCCCTTCTGTTAGAAAACAAATGAAAGCTAACATTCTTAAGAACAACATGATCTAAAGAACATATAATTGGGGATTTAATAATGTTAAAATGATTGGTTTTCATTTCTTGTTTCTAGTACCTTCAGCCTGAAAAATACTGAATTAAGCAGATTCATATATTGAAGTCCAGTAATTTCTGAACATAAAATTCCATTTACAGTACTGATTAGCAGCAGCATTAACTGAAGACAGAAGAGAAGAGAATCACCAAGGGAATTTATTACTGAGGCAACTGAGGTTCAGGGGCACAGCAGGGGAGTCAGAGAGAGGAAGAAAGTAAAACCTGGCCAGAAGGAGCTGGGTTGAAAAGCAGGAGTATCAGGTCGAAACTTCATCTCATTTCAACAGCCCATAGTTCTGCTTGCTCTCCCCCTTTCACCATTCAATAGCACTTTTTATTCCAGGATGAGAAGCATTCTTTTCTCCAAGTAGACAGGTTCATTCCCACGTCCCTAAGCAACTACAAAAGACCATCTGGAAATTGTAATAAAACAAAGAATTTAATATTTTTAAAAAAAAAATAAAAATTAAATAAAATGCCACAATTTCTTTCCCTCACTTCTCTGCCCCTTCTCTCCTCTTCCTGCCCCCACAACAAAATCCTTCATTCTTCTCTGTATTTAAATAAGGATTGCTCAACAACATAGATTTCTAGTTTTCTCCTAGTCCTAAGTCTTCGCTGTCAAATGCCTACCAGGAGATAAAATCCAAAAGCTAATGATACAACTGAAACGATGGCATTTTGCATGTAAATATTACATTCTGGGATAAACTTTAGAGGAATTACTGATAGCTGCAACTGAAAGTAATAACTCAACTTCCCTGGAAGCTTTAAGCAGTAGAAAATTTCTCATGAAGGAAGCAGAGGGGTGCTTTACATTTTATTTTTTTTTCCCCCGAACATAAGTGTTCTTGTAAAAGTATATCAATGCCAGAATGTGAACGTGGGTTTAAACTGATATGGGTGTTGTCCTTCTGATTTAACAAACCTACAGTTCCGGTGCTAGCATTGCTACTTGCAGTTTTGCCAAGTAACAGCAGATCAAAAAAATCTTATGAGATCTGTCATTTTCACAGATACCTGGGAAAACAGTAAAGCCAGCTACTGTTAATGGATGTGACCCTTGACTAGCTGCCCCCTCAGGTAGCACGCACAGTGTCTGGGTCAACATATGCAACTACACCCTGAGGACAGAAAACTGGTACAGACACGGAGTAACAGAAATGACTCATCGATGCTCAAAACCGCATGGGAGAACAGTAGAGTGGTGGTGGCATCTATCTCCTTGTAGCACTGGTCAAGAGATCAGAGGCATGTCAGCGAATTCTATCCTTAAAAAGTAATCTATCTCTTTTTATTATTTTCAAGCATATCTATCTTATGTGGAGGTTAGTGAGGAAGACTGCATTCTGCCTGTAACATCTGAGATTTCCAGCTTCTTCCATCATCAGGCTTATGCGATTAGATCTGGCTTTTTGCTATAGCATTTGATAGACACTGCTGGGGTTCTTCTTGCCAATTTTAAGTGTAGCTTCCACCCAGTTAACTCCATTGTTGCGGAAATAGTAGCTACATCCCAGAAAGAACAGTGATGTGGATACTACTGTAAGCATTGTTAGATCAGACCCTGTCTGATCTGCAAATTAAAACAGGTAATGGAACTATTTTACACAGTTTCCTTCTAATTCTGACACAGATGGCACTTAAACAAGGATTCCAGTCTTGGCAGTTTTGCTTCAAAGTCAGTGCCAATGCTGGGATAATCCTTTCTAGCAATTTTTTCCGTGATTTTTGAGCCACCAACTTCCGTATAAAATAGAATTTTTTATCTGCTATTCCCCTTCTACATGCATTGAACAAGCTTTGACAAGACACAGAATAGACCTTCAAATACAGAGCCAAGAGACACCAAAGAGTCATGAATCCCTCTGAGGTGCAAAGCTCATTTCTTAACCCTTATCTTCAGGTGAGTGTACCAAGGAAGAGAAAACTAGTGATCCAATGAAAAAGCAAAAAAAAAGGGAAAGTAAAATTACCTTCCTTGATGCTATTTCTAACTCTCAAGCTCTTAAACTATGCCAAGTGTGGGATAATGAACAATGACTGCTTTTTAAAGCTAGCATTGACTACAAAAAGAAAGATGAGCCAAACCCAGACAACTAACAGCAAAAATAGTGCATGTGCTCGTGTGTGTATGTTTCCTCACACAAAACTACTTTTCAGAAAGTTCTTTAGCCACAGAACTAGGCAAATAACCAATCCAGCTAATTCTGGAGATAATGGAGGCAAACTCATAAATAACCAACTGTAAACTTGCATCGGCCACTATGTCCTCTTCTCACGCACGTCTTTATCTTAATGTTATCAGCACATATAGGTTAGAGGAAAAATAGATACACCAGAGCTCTCATATCCTTAAAATGGGTATTTTTTAATTTGTTCTAATGCAGATGATGAAAGGTCTTCAATCAAAGCTGGTAAGAGCTCATTAGCATAGGCTTTCATACAAGCCAGGGGAAAAAAATGGAATGCTGTTCTAGATCTAGACAAGCACTCCTGTCAGCACCGACAGGAGTCTGCATGTAGATCGAGTTTAGTATATAGTGCAAAGACTCTGTAGTCGGATTATGAAATGTATCCATTATTAGCCTTTATAAAAGTCAGGCAAAGTGGCTTGGGGTTTAGTTGGTTTTCTGTATGTGTGTTTGTTTTTTTAAGATTGCTTTTATAAAGGCACACATACGAAAAAAAATCAGACAGAGGATGAAAGAAGAGAGTATTCCAGTAAGGATCTATTGACAACTGACTGTTTATTCCAGGTAAAAACAAAAAATACACATTTGAGCAAGAAATAGTCACACAAGTAATAGTTTGGAGGATTGTTCTTTCAAAATCATTATATTTAAGAACACTTCAGCGATTTAAGGGCACATGGGAGATGCCTAGTTTTACCAGTTTTCTAAAATAATTCATTCAAAGGAATACTACTTTTACTAATATTAAGTCCTACACACTGAAATTTCAGATCAAGCCTCTGACAGACCTTTATGTTGCCAACAAACATGCAGTCATTTCACTACCTCTCTACACTTCGGCTTTCTGAGGACTGTACTAGATTGAATGGCTGGCATAGAGAATTCAGCAGATTAGTAATACTATTTTCAGTGCTCCTTCAAAAAAAGCCAGTGCATATTTCTCCAGACCAGAGAAAACTTACAATCTTTTTCTGTCATCTAAACAGACAAAAAAAAAAAAAAAGTTGCCACATATTTCAGATTAAAAAAAAAAAAAAATCTTGCCACATACTGCCATCCAAATACCTCCAAACTATGCTTTCCTTACCAGCAACTGAGAAGGGGGTACGTACTTTGAACAGAAAAGATGCAACACACAACATAAATCAAAAATTGTGAAAAGTAAACATCAACAGGATGGAGAAAAGGAACCTGCTACCAGAGCGGGCAATTAGAAGACCAAAAAAATCACCAAAATAAAAAACAACCTACCAATCCAGTTATCCATCAGAGACTCTGCAGTTACTGCGGCTTCTACATGACTTGCAGCCTTGCTGATCAAGGGCCGTCACAGGACACCTAAGCAATAAGAATTTAACATTTCAAACTTGGAACACTTATCAGCAATTTGCAGTTTTCAAAAAGCCTAGGGATACTTGTTCCACCTTGGTCATTTCTCCATTTTAAAAAACTGCAACACAGTGAGGACATTCAGGGTTTGGGTTTTTTCGTTAACTTCTGTTCTCACGACTAAACTAACCTTTGATAACCTATCTCCATTTGCTGCAGGAAACAGAATTACTTTGTTAGAAGATTCCCCCTGCCCTGAACTCATTGCCTGAGTTCATACATGCAATTTTTCCTCTAAGCTTACAGTGTAGTGATGGTGCTCTAGAAGGTAAGGAAAAAAGCCTTCGTTTCATAGGTCTTTTTACAATAGTCTGTGCGTTTTCACCACTGAATGAGGGTAAAAAAAAAAAAAAAAAAAAACAACCCAAACTAGTCCCCCTAGTGTACCTTTGCAGTAGGAGTCTAAACCATATGTGGCAAATCACTACACTGTCTTTTTGTGTGAAGCTTTGTGGGTTTTTTCAGTAGAAGACGCAACCAATTGTAGAAGCTGCAGGGAAACTAGGCAACCTTTCAATCCATTTATCTAATTTACCACTGTTTCTATTTCTGAACAAGTTAAAAAAAAAATGTTGTACATAGAAAATTAATCAGTATCCAGAAAATTTCATTAAATAAAATGTGCTGACCTGTTGGCAATTGCCAGGTCTAGTTTTAACATAGTACTTTGTTTAGCCCGGTGCTTTCCATTCCTTCTAGCACTTGAAATTGTATTAAAAAAAAAAAAAAAAAAAAAGCTAACAATGTTTAAAGGACATTTGATTCATTGTCACTTCTATCCTGGCATCCATACCGTCCAGAATACATAAATGACAATCACTGCTGTAAAAACGTTTCCTGTAGTAATTCTAAGAGTGCTATAAAACCCAAGTACAATATATACACAAAAAGGTAAGATCTTACGATAACTGTTCAGATGCCTCCACAGGCTAATTTTCAGTTAAAAAAAAAAAAAAAAAACAAAAAAACAAAGAAACACCATGTTGGGGAAAAAGTAGGCTTTATTTACGGTCTAGCAGTACCCCTGTTCCAAGTTGAACAGAGCAAAGACATTGTACTCAGGTGAAAACACAAATAAAGATCGCTTGTCTGATGCTCTACAAAGAGGAATCACTTGCTTCCTAAAAGCAAAACTGGACACAGCGGAAGAGCTAGGAATCTCTCCAAAAACTGTTACATAAGGCACTGTCAAACTTCATGTCACCTCCACAGAGGCCGCAAATTGCTGTTTACACACAGCCGGTGCGCAGGGATTAATGATTTAACGACACAGTTCTCGGACAGGAGGTGAGAGCAGGAGCCTTCCCCAAGGAGCGCTTCCTGGGGAGGCTGCAAGGGGGATGGGGGAACCACCCTCCCCGCGTCCCACCGAAACTCCGGAGCCGGCGGGCAGGTCCCGTTGGGGCAGGCTGCCTCCCGGGGCAGCCACGCCGAGGGGCAAGGCGTTCGCGCCCCACGCCGCGACACCCTTCCACCCGCACGGCAAGCGGGGCCGCCAGCCCCGGCTCTCCCCGCACAGCCGGCGGGACGGCGGCCCCGCTCCCCCCCCCCCCCCCCGCCGCAGCCCCCCGCGGAACGGGAACGCATCCCGGCCGGAGGGGAGGGGGGGGGGGGGAGCGGGGTAAACAGCCCCCCGTGCGGGCTGGCGAGGGGAACGGAGTACGAGCCGAGGGGGTTACGGGGTAACCCCCTCCTCGGCCCGGGGGGACGTGCCCCTTTGCTCCAGGGGAGCGCCGAGCGTGCCTCCGCCCGAGCATCTCTTCAACTCCAGACCTGACGGTGATTATAATCCAGGAAATAACCCCCCCCCACCCCAACCCTACCGATGTCGGGTGCCCCCCTCCCCCGGGGCTGCTGGAAGGGAGACACTCACCGATTGTTTCTCGCCCTCCCCCCGCCTCTCGCCTCTAAAAGAAGCGGCAGCGACCCGTCGAAGCACTTACCTTCCCCGGGGGGCTGGCGGGCCGCCGGGACGGGCGCTCAGCGCCCGCCTCTCCGCCCAGGCAAGCGGTCCTTCCCCCGCCTTCGCTCCAGGCGGGCAGCTCCTGCTCCGTCCCCGCCGCTCCCGAGGTGTCAGCCGGCGGGTCCCAGCCGGGGCGGCACCGGCGGCTTCGCTCTCCGCGGGACGAGGAGCTGGCTGGCGGCGGGAGGAGGTTGGAGGAGGGCGGCGGGGAGGTCCCCGCTCCTCCCGGGGTGCGCCGCCGAGGTGGCTGCCTCCTCCTCCTCCTCCTCCTCCGCCCGGCGCTCTCCCTCCAGGGCCTGTCCGCTCCCCTCGCTTCGCGCTGTCCGGAGCTGCAGCCCGGCCCCGTCCGTCCGTCCGTCCGTCCGTCCGTCCCGCTCGCCTTCCCCCGCCCCTCTCCCCGGCGGCGAGCCGCGCCGCGCCGCGCCGCGCACAGGCCCCGCCGGCGGCCAGAAGGACCCGGGGGCGACGGGGGATCCCGGCCCGGCCTCCCGTCCTCTCCCCGGGGCCTGGTGGACACTCTCCGCGGGGAGAAGAGGCCCTGCCCCGGCCTGGCGGGCGGCGAGCAGCCCCGGGAAGGTCACCGGCACCGTGGAGCCGAGCACGGAGGGGCTCCCTCCGGCACCGCCGCGGCCGTAGCTACTGCCGCCGGCCCGGCCTCAGCGGCCGCTGGGTGCCGCGCTCCGCCCGGGCTCGCTCCGTGCCGGTGCCCGGCGGCCGCCTCCGAGCCCGAGTGCCAGGCTGCCCCCTTCCTTCCTTCCTTCCTCCCTCCCTCCCTCCCTCGCCGCCCGCCCCTTCCCCGCTGCCAGCCTTCCCCCGCCGGCGCCCGGCTGCCCCCCCGCGGGTCTCGGGGCCGAGGCTGCCCGCCGCCGCCGTTCCGCGGGTGACCGGGAGCGGGGTGCCGGCCGCCGCTCTGCCCCGGGGCTCAGCGGCAGCTGCAGTGCCTGCGTGTCTGTGTCATGTCCGTGCCTGGGCGGGCGGAGGCGCGGGGCCGAGGCGGAGCCAAGCCCGCCGACACGCCGCCCAGCGACAACCGCCGAGCGCCCAACCAGCGGCGCCGCCGCGGCCCGCGCAGCGCAGCGCGGAAGCCCCCGGCCGCTACACCTGCGCCCGGGCGGAGGGCACCGCGGTGGCGGGGCGCGGATTGGGGGGGGGGGGGGGATCAGCCGCGCCGCGTCCCGCCCTGACAGCGAGCCCGTCCCGCGGGACGGGGTTGTGAGGGGGAGAGCCGGCTCCCGCGCGTGGGGGGGCCGCCGGCCCAGGCGCCGCACCTGAGCGCGCCGTGGTGAGTGAGGGGAGAGCGGGCGGCGGGGCCGGCCCTCGCCCCGGGCGCTGGCGGCGGGGTGCCCGCCCGTTTCTGAGGGGCGGGGGGGGGGGGGGGGACACACACACACTAAGCGGCGCCCGGCGGTGGAAGCCCCAACTTTCTGCCCCCCCCTTAACGCGTCAGAAATTAATACCGCGTCTCTTCGCTTAATTGCGGCGGAGCGTGTCCCTGTGCCGTGTCCCTGCGTGCTGGTAACTGCGGAGAGTGAAGTGATAAATGCACCTTTTTTTTTCTTTTTTTTTCTTTTTTTTTCCTTTCCCTGTTGTGGGCACAAAACAATCATGAACGCTCTTTTTTTGTTTTGGGTTTTTTTTTTTTTGTTTTTTTTTTTGTTTTGCTTTGTTTTGGTTTTGTTTTTTTGTTGTTTATTTTTATTCATCATCTTTCACTTCATTACCAGCGGAAAATGGATTGTTGCAACACATTAGCATAGTAAGAGGACCCTCTGATAAACTGTGTTGTATGGGTGGAGAGGGTGCCTGAAATTTCGAGAGGAGTGCAAGGAGAACAGAAATGAGCAGAGAGGAGCAAGTGTGCATACAATTCGATTTTAAAAAGGCATTGATCCATTCTTAGAATGGAAGAGGAAGGGAAGTATACACGTGCTTTGAGTGACAATGTAAATAATCAGAAGTAGAAATAATAGGGATACTATTCAGTACTTACTGCCTTTTTTCCTCCCAGAAGGGAATGGTTGAAGAGAAAAAATGTTGTTCTACAAAAGATACCACAGATGCTAATTTCTCTTCCTACATCAACTGCTTAAATGCTGTAACTTGCTCGGAAGTTGCTTTATTGTGGGCAGAAATGATGTTTTGCAGTATGCTCTACCAAAATATTGTCAACTCTGGAACAGGTTATTCATGGCAAGATAGTATTTGCCAGACTTGATTAAGGCACTGGCCCATCCAGCTTAGTATTCTGTCGCCAGCAGCACCCACTTTCTGATGCTTTACTGGAGAGTGGTATCAGATGAACTGAAGTAAATCATGAAGCTGAATGTGCCAGGGATATCACGTAAGTGTTACCAACTGCAAATTGTGACATATTATGACAACTAGGAAAGCATTTGGGGGAAGAAAAAATCCTCTGTATATCTGTAAAAATAATTTCATTCCGATATGAAAGATTTTCTGGGGAAGCTATGGTAACGTACAGATCAGTATTGTGCTAGTCAGAAATGAGCTATACTGAAGTGACTTATTCTGTCCGTTCTCCTAAGTGAAGCTAAAGGATCAGCCTTCATGTAATAATGTTTTCTTGCACTGTTGAGGGATTATAATTGCTTTGGTGACAGTCACAACAAACAAATTGCTGGGAATGTATGGAGGAGGAAACAGGACTGTGTATATGGCTTCATGATTAATAAAACCAGATTGTCTACTGTCTGTTAGTGGAATTCTCAACATTTTCACTTTTTTTAGTCTCATGCTATGTCTTAAAAACCAGTGAATTGTCAGAGTCTGATCCTACAGAATATTGAACAATTTCTGCAGGTTCTAAATGTTATTTGCTACTAGAGGAAGAAACTCTCAGCACCCACAAAAATTCTAGGGTTTTAAAAGCAGCATGTATAATTAGGATTATCAAATGTACCACGACACATGACAAATGATGGAACTTCATACTGAAACAAAATGTCTTACTTAAAATTTCTCTCCATCCGTCAGGCTCGTGACCTACTCACAAAATGGACAACAGTTGTCCAAACCCAGAGCAACGGTTGTCAGAGGCTCTAGCTGAGAATGAGTACCACTAGGTTACAAAAACTAACAGGGACAGGAGGAGTGATTACCTATGAAGACAGAGTTTTTCAGAAATTGTGTTTATAAGCAAGTAATCTCTTCATCATAAAATCAATCCATCAGTCTTTGTCCTTGAAAATGCTGAAGTGACAATTGCTTTGGACATAGAGTAAACAAGCAATGCAGAAGGATCTTTATGCCAAGGACAGGTAGAAGAAATTAGATGCAAATATTTGCACTTCAGATTTCATTCAGCCAGAAGGAAGCTTTCTCCAGAAGCTATGCAGGTTCTGGAGATGTCTATTTACATTAAAAACACCAAAAAAACCAAAACCTATAGTAATGTCAAGTATATAGTTTTAAAAAAATTGAAAGTTACGTAAGGTTGAAAATCTCAAAGCCTCACAGTCTTCTTATTAAAAAACAATGTAAAACAGACCTTTCTTTTTTTAATAGGAACATAACAATTTTGAGATAGTGTTATATGATCAAGATATACTGATGTAAAATTATCACACGAGTCTTTGGTCTCATTTTTTCCTTACTGGTACAAGAGGTAAAGGTGTAACAGTACACAGCTGCAAACAGGTTATGGCACTTTTACTACAACAGAACATCGGTAAGTAAAATAGGATTAAGTCTGTTTATAAGACCCCAAACACTTTCAGATTATCTGGGTTTTGATGAAAATAACAAAATTATTTCCAATATAACCATTTTACATGACAAATAGGTATAAGGCCCACAAGTATTCAAATGTATAAAAGTACATGAAGTTCATCTCCCATTTCACACCAGTGAAGTCTTTTTTACATTCTTACAGTTGCTTCGTTGTTCTAGCTGAATTCTGTCACTGTGAGGTCTTTTGAGGAAAAAGACAGTGCTTTGTTCGGGAGGTGACTGAAAAGCGCTTTATTACTCTAATATTGCATTATGTACCAGCTGTAGTAGAAGCTAAAACATTCCTGAAAACCAGGAAGGTGTTCTGTCCCCATTCCTCCACACACATTCCAGTGCTTAACCAGTGTTTCAGATACCTAGTGAGGCTGATGCTGCTGTGTCACACTCAAGGTATGGGATATGCACGAACAAAGCTAAGTTCTCCATGACCTGCTTTAGGTGGAGTTGATGAAATAGCTACTTTTCATAAAATCAACCATTCAGGGTGTTCTCATGCGGAACAGAAATTCAAATCTGATTTAGCAGACTGACTGGATTGTGTTAACTGATCCACTTCAACACGGAAGGTTGTGAATCTTTGTTTATAAATTGCTGCTCTTAACTGCTAGATGCTAAAATGCACAACTGTTAGTAGGATCGGAGCATGAAGAGTAAGACCGAAAGTCTGAAGCAAGTCCTAACCCTTGAGATTCTTGTTATCATCTCTCACCACAGTGAATACAGGACTACTGCAGAACAGCCCGCCTGATGTCTTTTGTAGTAGGAAGAGGCTTTCAGACAAGAAATAAGTGAAATTTAATCTACTCTGCAAAAAGAAATTCCCAGTTCTTGAGTATAAAGTGGAAGCTCTGTTACATATGCTGTCCACAATGGGCAGTAAATTAAAACTTAATGGAGATTTTCCTGTGCATGTAACAGAATAAAGAAAAATCAAGAAAACCCAAGAAAGTCAGAGCAAGAGCCAGATTCCTTGAGGTTATAGGAACTGGAAAAAAAAAAAAAAAAAGAAAAAAATGGTAAACTGAATGCATTTTAAATAGCTAGAAAGCATCATGAAAACTGAAAACTTTCAGCATGCAAAGGAAATTCAGTTATTGAAACAGAAATTATTTCTCTTATATGCCAAAATAGATTTCAGACAATATGCTAATATGACTTACAGAATTCAGAAAAGACCTTATTTTTGCTGTGTTTGAAGTTTCTTTTTTTAATGATGGAATCTTCACACCTATGCTATTTGCAGTGAACTTCTGGATAATGTACAGTAGCATAACTATTTGGTGTTAATATGTATCATTCCCTTTACAGAATCTTCTGGAAAAGAAAAGCAACATTGGACAAGCTTTAGAATAATTTTAAACTTCACTGTATATGAAGGTGAAACTAACCCAGGTACCCTTAAACCTAAATCAAGGTATGTTGAATTCAGTGAAGCAACTGCGCTGATTTCATCAATACTCATCTAAGCTATCCTTTATGTCCCAGTCTGTGTTCTGGGAAAATATATATACACATCTAGACCTACAAACGCATTTCAATGAATTTTTTTAGTAATTGTTTCCATATGACTGCTTCGCCTCCCTCCCCAGCAAACAGTGGATATAGTATCTCTCACTTGTTACTCTGTTTCTTTTGTTGCACTTCTCCATGTATTGCCTGCAGTACAAATGCTAAGTAAGACAATGAAAAGCCTTAAATGAATTGTAGGCCTGTAAAACTAGTATCTGCTATCCTTTCTAGAAGCATTAAAGCATAGGATGCACCACTCCTCTGCTCTTAGCCTTGCACATTTAGATTTTAATTTATCTAAGGACACTTTTCACTACTGTGGTGAAAAAGAGGATACTCTACCTGATCAAAGCAAGACCTTTTTCTGTTAGAAGCACCTGTCTTATACATGGAAGGTTTAATTGTTTTCAGAACAGCTTCATTAACTGCTGAAAGTGTTGACCTCCCAAGAGCCATGATGCTAATCAGAAGGAAAAGTGGCCTTACAGCAGTTGAA